GGAATTAGTTTCTTGTCTAGGGTTGGGATGGATTCAATTAGGATTCCTTAATTGATTATTGAATGAATGTGTGATTGATTTTCAGCATATCAATTTGTTGTCTTAGATCTGATTCTTGTGAATGAATGGCAATTATTTACATGTTTGAGATATTGTATGAAGAACTGAACAGTAAAATATGATTCATGCATGCCAAGCCGGTTCATTGTCAATTAGTCATTGGAAACCAATTGAGGAAATCCAAGCTCTAGAACCTTCACCATTGATTTTATTAAGTTTATTCAATTGTGTTATTAGCAATTAATTTATGTCATTGTTACTTATTGCAATTCTGAACATTGTGACTTTCTAAATAATATAGTTATAATATTGGTATTTGATAACACCCTTCCTCGAGGGACGATATCTAGATTTATCTATCTTATTTATTTGCAGCTTAAACTGTTTGATCATTTGCCATTTTTACCGTTCTATTCGTTTTTACCATTCAATTGCAATACTAGCAAGAATGGAGGTTGACACTCTTGTGGTTAAATATTGGTTAGCTATTTATTCATTATCATTTGCTTAAAAAAGCCTTAAGTTGCTTTAGTTATTTTTATTATCTATAAATATGCGTTGGGTTTATAATGGTGGTAGCACTTTCAGTCATCATTTGTTCAAATGGAGGGTAGTGCAGCACAAGGTAAAGCGATATGGGATACCGAGGCAATACAGCTTTTTTGTGATTTTTGTATCAAAGAGGTTGAAGGTGGACACCGACCTGGGACACATCTTGACAAAGTTGGATGGGAAAATGTAATTCAAAAATTTAACGAAGCAACCAAACGAGTGTATAAAAGAACACAATTGAAGAATAAGTGGGATGCTTTGAAGAATGATTGGAAACTTTGGAAGGAACTTGTTGGGAAGGAAACCGGTTTAGGTTGGAACAATAAAAAGAACACTATTGATGCATCTGAGGAATGGTGGCATAATAAATTGCAGGTATACGAATAATATACGAATGAAGTTGCACATTATTGATAGTGTGTACATTTAGTGTGTGGCAGGTTTAATTTATTAAAGTATTTTTACAGATTCATCCTAACGCAGCGAAGTTTCGCACGCGGGGAATTGAACCAGAGTTTGAGGATAAGTTGAATAGGATGTTTACTAATACTGTGGCCACAGGGGTGTATGCTTGGACACCCGCATCTGGACAGATGCCATGTGAGGATGATAAAATAGCAAATGAAATGATATCCCCACTTGAACAACTTGAGAGTAGTGGATCGTCAGATGCACCTATTGGAAGAGAGAGGCCACAGGACCCTAAGAAGAAGCGTCCAATCGAGCTAGATGAGGGACAAAAGAAATTCAAAAGAGGGAAAGGCAAGGATAAAGTTGGCGGTGCGGCCAAATTGTCTCAACAAATTGAGCGCCTTGTCACCGTAGTGGAGACTATTAGTACCGGATCATCCATTGCACAAAGTAAAGGACCAGATTATAGCATGACACGACTTGTTGAAGTCCTTGAATCTCTACCTGGATTAGAGAGTGGGAGCGACTTGTATTTTTTTGCTGTCCACTTGTGCGCAGACACGATTAAAAGAGAGTCATTTTTTACTTTGAAACGACCTAAGTTGCAGCTCAACTGGCTTAAGTTTGAGCACGGCCTAGGATCATCATCTTAAATTTCCTTGAGTGTCCCTTGAGTCTTCCTTTACTATGAGTAATATTTTAGTGTGGCTTTCATTAATTATGTACTATAATGTTGTTTTTCCATGCTTTCGAATACATTGTATTGAATATTGTACTCTATTTTTATCCATTAGACATTGATATTTTCTATTATTTCATTTGAACATTGTTTACATGCAGGTTTATTCATTATTAGCTGGGATGTCTGATAATATTACCCAGCTAAGTTTACAACTTGTTTGTGTTACTGCACACATCATTGAACAATATTATAATAAGTATATTCACAAAAATCCTTGTATGAACTCTGCTCAAACTGGAAACATGTGGGTAATGGAATTATTAGGCGGACATGAAATTAGAAGTTATAGAATGTTTAGAATGGATAAGGATGTATTTATGTCCCTATGTAATGATTTGCAATGTAACTACGGATTACAGGGATCAAGAAATATATCCGCGTTTGAAATAGTCGGAATGTTTTTGTTCATTTTAGGTCAGGGTGCGGGAAATCGTTCAACACAAGAACGATTTCAACACTCTGGTGAAACAATTAGTAGATATTTTGAGTATGTTCTAGACATTGTCTGTCGTATGAGCATGGATGTTATAAAGCCTGATGATCCAGAGTTTAATGGAGTGCCTCAAGAGATATTAGTGGATTGTAGATATATGCCTCATTTTAAGGTATTCTCGTAGTTCATAATATGTTTCCTTCCTTATTTAAAGTATTCATTTTAAACATAGAACTTTCTTCTTTTTAGAACTGTATAGGTGCAATAGATGACGTACACGTTCCAGCTATAATACGACCAGAAGATCAAGTCCCATTTATTGGTAGAAAGCGTGTGCCAACCCAAAATGTGATGGCTGCCTGTGATTTCAATATGAAATTTACATATGCATATGCAGGTTGGGAAGGTAGTGCTCATGATACAAGAATATTCTTAGCAGCACTACGCCGTACAAGTTTGAAGTTCCCAAAACCACCAGAAGGTTAAAACCTCTTCTATATTCATGAGAACTCTGTTTTATTATTTACTAAGTCTTTGTGTTTGTATCTCAATAGGTAAATACTATTTAGTGGACGCGGGTTATCCACAATTAAAAGGATTTCTTGGACCTTATAGAGGAGAACGATACCATTTAGAACAATTTCGAATGGGTCGTCGACCAACTGGCTATAAAGAGGTATTTAACCAAGCACATTCTTCTCTTCGAAGTGTCATTGAACGCACATTTGGTGTCTGGAAGAAAAAGTGGAAAATTTTGAAAGACATGCCAAATTATGCGTTTGCAAAGCAAGTGAAAATAGTTATTGCTACAATGGCGCTCCATAACTACATTAGGAAGCATCGTAAGCGTGATCTACATTTTCAAAGGGTCGAGGATAATCTAGATGATTTCGTTTATGAAGAGAATCAACCAGATGACAATAATGTAGAAGAGAATGAAGCTTTACTATCACTGGAAATGGATGAAGTACGAGATCAAATTGCAGTAAGCTTAATGAATACGACTTAATTCTTTTCATTTGAGTTAAGTTTGTAGGTATATACGTGTGTATTTGTAGGACTTAAGTTTGTATTTGTAGGTACATATGTGGTGTGTGTGTGGATATATATGTTTGTATTTACGTGTGTGTGGATATATTTATTCACGTGTGTGTGTATTTTGTATTTTGTTCTTTCCATGCATGTCATGTTTTGTAATTTTGAATGAATTGTCTACTTCAAAGATATGTTATGTATTCAAAGATATATTTTGTCTACTTCAATGAATTGTCTACTTCACGTGTGTGTGTGTGTTTTGTAATTTTTGAATGAATTGGTGGTGGCATTCTCTTTCCTACTGAATGAAGTAGCTCCTAGACCTCATAATAGTGGTCACCACACAATAAAGTCCTGCTACACCTCACAGTTTGAACAACATTTGAGGGCTGTTATGGGTCTTCCACTTGGTGATCCATCAATGAAAACTCCTGCTGCAATCATGTATAATTTACTTGGTGAAGATGAGGGAGATCGAGGTTTCCTTTTAGCTCATCAACTTATTGGACGGGCATTGGGTATTCCTGGGGCTACTGTTCATTGGTATGATAAGCCAGGTAAGTTACTGCTCATCTTATATTTTTTGATGTCTAGCCGCATCTTTCTAATTCATACTCAATGCTTTCCTTTGTCATCATAATTATATGGCAGAAATGCGAAAGCAACGAAAGATGGGTCATATCACAATTGTCGGTCCTTCTATGAGTGATGTGGAGAAACCATTGGATTCAATGCTGAGCACAGAAAGATTTGATAGTCAGTCTGCAGGTTAGTTTTGTTGGGGGCTGTGTAATTTACCATGATGTCTTGAAAGTGAAGCTGCTTGGAGGTGCTCACACTTTTCCTTTGTTATGCCCGGTGCAAATTTCTTGAAAAGTGTGACCTTGAAATTATATTGAGCTTAGCAACTTTTTAGCAATTTGTATTGGGCTTAGATGTGACCTTGAAATTGTAATTACGAAACTGTCATTTGCATTCATTTTGTTTCTTATTTGCTAAATGTAGTGACACCACGTGTTGGGATCATAATGGGCTCGGATTCAGATCTCCCTGTGATGAAGGAAGCTGCCTTTACTTTGAGTATGTTTGACGTGCCTCATGAGGTTAGCTCCCTTTTTTTTTTTC